GCAGAGGCAAAGGAAATAACCTGGGTCAAATGTGTTGGAAGCATCTCCAGAGTCCAAGTAAAAGGGAGCATAGGCTGACTGCAGCAAAAGGACTGCCTATACCTGCAGTGGTCATTCCATGTGGAAACTAATTAAGAAATCAAACAACAGGAGTAAATGAGTACAGAATGACCATTTCAGGCTCATGGAGTCATATGAGGTCTGTAGTTTACTACCAACATGCTGTGATAACCAGCTCAAGCAAGTGAAAAAGCAGTCGCCTTTAATTTGGGAGTGCCATGTTAGACCATCACTGAGGCAGTTTGCCTTGTGATTTAAATACGAAAATGGCTCAGACTGTTTCTGTAGAATGGACACAGGTTGGTGCTGTGAGAGCAGCAGTGCCTGCCCAGTTCACAGAGGAACTGTGATTTCTTCGACCTGCAGGCAGTGGGAGGAGTGTAAGGCTTCAGAAAAGGTTATTAGTGGCTGTGTGGAAGTACTAAAGATGAGAATTGGCAAAGGATGCAAAGGTGGCTTGGGAGGCTGATGAGAACATGAATTCAAGACCCTGGAAGATAATGTTTGCAGACCCACTGTATGTACTAAAAGTATAATAATGCTGGAGTGCTCTTTGGCCTGAAGTCTTTATTTCCATGCCTTTCACAGATTATTTGATAATTTTGGAGTTCTACTGTGACTAATTCTTACTGCTCTTAAAATAGCAGCTTGGTTACAGTCAATATGCAGCAATGCACAGAAGTAAATGTGTCTGGGGGGAAAAAATACTTTTGTTAATTATGGGAAGGCAAGAGTTCCTTATAATTTATTGTCTTACTGTCCCCATCATGCTTCACCATGTCTTGCATGTCACCTATAGAAGTTCTTCTGTAGCAAGCATGCAGTTATTTGCATTACCATGCACTGAGATCAGTTTACCTGAGAATAACTGCTGTGGTGTAGTGCAGGAGCACATGGAGTTGATGACAAACCTTTGCTCCTCGGTGCGAGCAGGAGATGCTATAAACCTGTTCGAGTACTCATAATCCAGTGCCCCTTCTCTCTTAATGCTGACCTCTATTCCTGTCGCTGCGTTTGATTTCCGCCAGGCTTTTCATGACCCCATGCGGTAGCGCAGCCCTCAATTAATAAGGAGCTGTGTTGACAGCTGCTTCCAAACCTTCTGGCCTCTGTCAGGGATTTGTTTTCCCCTTGTGCACAGGGGGTTGGATGCAGGCACCCCAGGATTGCTTCTGGTGTTTGCTTTCCCGTGCAGTTCTGGCCCGTGGTGCTCAGCAAATCTGAGTTCTTTCTGCCTTCTTTTGCAAATTAACTGCTGCAAGGGTGTTTTTTTTACTTTGCTTTTGATCTGTGGCTGCTCAGTGATTGAAAAGGAAATGTCTTCTGTTGTGTTCTACCAGTGAAGGCTGCGTCTAGGTCTCTTCTTGAATCTGGGTTGTGCATTAAAAATGGTGTTGGAGCCGTGCCACAAGGTGTGCTTGTTGCATTCTAGTCATCACGACAGTGTTTATTAATTATTTGCCCTTAGGTCTGTACTAAACACTAGCTGGGTTTTTGTACTCTGTGCTTTTGTTACTGCAGTAGTGTCTAAGTCTCACCATTGTGGTGTTTCCACAGATTACTTTTGAGAGTTTGCACACCATCTGTGTGCAATAATAAAGCTTTTAGCAACTCCAGATTGCCATGCTCGTGGTGGGGAGTGTGGATAAAAGCCAGCCCAGTGAATTAAGGTCATGTCCCTACTGAGGACAGAAAGCAAACTCTAGGTAAAATGATCTAGACAATCCCTTTGAGAGGCATCTGTTCCTGGTAGGGCTTTGGCAATCATGGTTCCGGCTGTTAATCTTCAGGCTCCCAGCCACTCAAAGGTAGAAGAGACATGGGGACTTGCTCCAGGTTTAATGGACATCTGCAGGGAAAACAGTTCATGTTTTTGACAATCCCAGGTGGATGGAAAGTGGTGTTGAGTAGAAAACTTGTGAAGTGAGCCACACAGGTTATAAATAACCAAAAAATCATGATCCAAAGCAAAACGGGCAATAGCCACTTCTCAGACAAGGCTTTACAAAAGGATTAATACAACTACTGAACCTCTTGGGTAGTGTTGAGCTCTTAGTGGGGAAGTTCTTCATAATACCAAAATGTAAAGAGCTTGACATTTACAATATTGAGGAGAAAAGAAAAGCTTTTGGATATAGGTCTGTGTGGGAGAAAATAATGTCAAAAGGAAAAAACTAGGAACTGTTGTACCAGATAAATACACTATATTAAGAAAATTACGACATGAGAGGGACATCTTGTGGCACAAACAAAATAAAATGACAGAAAATAATCCAGTGACGGGCCTGGAATGTTACCCCAGGGTCACCATTTCTGGTGGAAATTCAAGGCCTGATGGGAGATAGCAGGACTCTTGCTAGCCCATTTCTCACATTCCCACTTTTTTATCTCTGTGCACAGAGGAATTACAGAACACAGAAGTTCTACCAGATACACTCATCTGTCTTGGTGCAAATGATACTGGGGTTTAGTGAAGAAATAGATTCAAATGTCAGTACCGTTATTTGACTGTATGTGTTGCTTCATCAGTGGCATAAAATGGAACAGTAATTTAGCTGTGGGTGGTTAACACTTATTTTCCACTTGTATGGCAATCACATTTCCATATGTTCATTTAAATTAAGAAGAATACATTTAATTTTCAGGAGCACAAAGGTTGCATACCATCAGCTGAAATGAAACCTAAGGTACGCCTGTGAATCATGGTGTGTAAGTCTGACGTAGCTTTGCTGTCAGCATGTCTGCACCTCTAGATCCCTTGTTTGATTAGTTTTGATCACGTGGTGATCAAAGTTTAATTATCTTTTATAAGCAGTAGTTTTCCCAAGAGTTCTCGCCGTAACTTTGACTGATTTCTTGCATACCTTTTAATAGTCTCGGATGAGCTTGTTTTGTATCACTGCATAGAGTGGGAGAAGTCTCTACAAGATGGAAGTATTTTCAGTCTCTCACAGACCTCAGCCACTGGAACCACATTTTGATGTCTTTTAGAAGCAGCTCTTCGTAGTAGTTTGGGGACTTGACCAAGGACTGTAGCTCCAACCCAGTTACCTTCCAGTAGCCATTTACACCCTTTGTTGGCTGCTTTGGTCTGGCTTCTGGTGCTTAAGAGAATTAGCTTGAGATATTGCTGGTTTGGGCATGGGTGTGTTAAGCAGGTAGGTGTACATTGGCATGAACTCTGAATAGAGTTATTACTCCCAGCTTTGGGGAAACAATAGAATGTCAGCTGGAGGGAAAACCAGTGCTCTCCCCCAGAAATACCTGTCAGCTACAGGAGTTCAGTTCTCCTTGTAATAAAAATCTAAGCACTGAGGAGGTTTGATTCAGTGGTACATCTTTTGTTGTGAAATATCAGCAACCAAATGTTGTTTTGTTGAGCCTCAAGATTTCCAATGCTATCTTGTCTTTATACATCTCAGATACCAAGTTCAATGTCTGTTGTTTTCTTAAGGATGTTTATAATGTGTCTATTCATGCCTAAGGATCTAGAAATAGTATTTGAGTCAATTGATATGTAAATCATTCTCTGCTTTGGAAAGATAGATCGTTTCTCGAGCAGTAATTCGATCAGAGCTTGGTTTTTGTATAACCAGAATAACCTTTGCCTAAATTGAATACAAACTTCGTGTTTCTGAGCTAGTTCTAGTACTTCAGTCGCCATGAGTAGAAACGCCATAAATTACAAGGAAAAGTAAAGAGATCTTTTTGGGGGTAAAGATGGGGCAGGAGCCCCAACTTTTTGTTTTCAGGCTTTTGCGCAAATCTGCCAAGTCATGCTATTGTCCAGCCCAGATTTTTGACCAATACATGTGTGTCTTAAAATGGTTTTATCTACTTGCAGGTCGGCTAAAATCACCGAGCATTGCAGTGTTGAGATCTATCCCCTTGCCTGCAATTCGTTTGGCATTAGGTATTCCGCAGTGACAAATGTTTAGCTTAGGTTCACCAAACGCTTGGGTTTGTTGGTGCTGGTGGAATTCTGGCTCGGAAGGATTCCAGTTTCACACGGCCTTTTTGACAAAGGGACTTCAATTGCTGATGAGTCTCTTACTGGTTGGATTGGTTCAAAGACCAGCTCCCATGATGAGGTTTTTCTGGTTACATATGCGTGATGGTATTGGCTTATGGTGTGTGTACAAGTGCTTGTGTTGGGAATCTCTTGTGTATTTACTATCTGGAATGGCACTGGGTTGTGTAGCTTGTCTACTTTGGTGTAGCTTGCCTCAGGATTGTCGGGGATAGCGATGCCTTTGTCTTCTGTGTACATGTATGCCGGAGGTGCTTCCCTACCTGGAGCAACATCTGGATGAGCAGTAGGATGCAGTTCTCAGCTTTGCCCTTGGTTTCAAGTGTCTCCTAAGCAACAAAAGCTACACCTAGGAAAGACACATTTAATAATAACCTGGTCTAGTGGAGGGTGTCCAAGCCCCGTAGCAGGGGGTTGGAACTAGATGATCTTTAAGCTCCTTTCCAACCCAAACCATTCTGTGATTCTATGAATAACTATTTCCCCAAGAGGGCTCGGATGGAAAAGCCTTAAATTACGACTCATGGTTTGAATTCACATCCTTGCTTGGACGCTTGCCGTTTCCCTGGCAGAGAGAGGTGCTGCGAGGAGGAGCAGGGGTGTGCGGTGGGTGTGTGTCTGTCTGTCCGAAGGACCAGGGTGTGTGTGTCTGCAGGTTGGGGTGTGCAGGGGCAGAGCCCGTGGCGGGGAGCAGGGGGACCCCCCCGGATGCTGCGGGTCGCGCAGGGTGATCTCTCCCCCCCCCTCCAGCGCTTTGCCCGTCGCGTTTTGAGGCTAAACCCGCATTTCCGAGGCTGCGGCCGGCGCTGCCTTTCCCCGGGGGGCTGCGGCCGCGCTCCCCGCGGGTCCCCGCCGGCGCCGCGCCCTCCGCCGCGCTCCTGCCCGCCTCCCTCCCCTTCCTCCCCGCCGTCCCCTCCCCCCGGCTCCGCATCGCCGCGGCCGGAGCCCACGCCAACCGTGCCGGCGCTCGGCCGAGGATGCTCCGGGGCTTTTGTCCCCCCGCGGCAGGTAGGGGCCGGGGCGGAGGAAGCGGGGCTGCGCCCCGGGGCCGGGCGGGGGGCGGCCCGGGCGGCGGCGGGGGCCGGAGCGGCGCGGCCCGGGAGAGGCGGCGAACAAAAGCGTCGTGCAAAATGGAGCCAGGAGAGAAGGGCTGGAGCCCCCTCCCCGCCGCGCATCCCTCCGCCCGCATGGACGGCGGCAGCAATTGCCGGGAGGCTGCTGCCGCCCCGCCGCCCCGGGGAGGGGACGGGAGGGACGGAGGCGCCGCGGGAGCCCGGTGGGGAGCGGGGCGGGCGGCGGCGGGGAAGCGCTGTAGCAGGGCGTGGGGAAGAAGCGGGGCGATGGAGGTGGTAGCACGGGGGGAAAGGCGGCTCTGTAAACCACTTTGCCCTTCTCTTCTGTCAGCCTTCGGGAGCACTCTCGTCTTGGGTCGGTGAAGGTTCTTTCTCCCTCTTTCCCCCAACCCTTCATCCCTCCCCGGCGAGGCAGCCCGCCCAGGAGGGCTTTAACATCAGTCATCTCCTTGCGGTGGGTGAAGTTGCTGCCATGCCCGCTGCTGGGTCCCGGCGCACCGGGAGTGGCGGGGAGCCGGATTTACCGGGGAGTTGTGCTGCAGACAATGCACAGCAGCAGCAGCAGCAGCATCTGGAGCAGCCCTGGGGACTGGAGCTCCGGTTTTGACATTGCTACACACACACAGCACCAGCCGCAATGACAGCAGCTGCCTGGAGTGGCTGCAGGCAGCAGGCAGGAGCATGAAGTGAAGAGATCACTGCAGTGCTCAAGATGAACTCCTCCTTGGTTGGCAACCAGAGTGGCCGGCCGTTCTGTCTCCTGGCCATTAGCTATTTGGAGACCATCAATTTTTGCCTCCTGGAAGTGGTTATTATTGTGTTCCTCATGGTGCTGATTATTTCGGGCAACATCATTGTGATATTTGTCTTTCACTGTGCACCTCTGCTGAACCACCACACCACCAGCTACTTCATCCAGACTATGGCGTATGCTGACCTCCTGGTGGGCGTGAGCTGTCTGGTGCCTTCTTTGTCTCTGCTGCACTATCCTATTGTTTTAAGTGAGTCCTTGGTTTGCCAAATCTTTGGTTATGTGGTATCAGTGCTGAAGAGCGTCTCCATGGCCTCTTTGGCATGCATTAGTATTGACAGATACATCGCCATCACGAAGCCGCTGACCTACAACACGCTGGTGACCCCATGGAGACTTCGAATCTGCATACTGATCATTTGGCTCTACTCCTGCCTGGTCTTCTTACCCTCCTTTCACTGGGGAAAGCCTGGATATCACGGGGATGTGTTTCAGTGGTGTGCCAATTCCTGGAACACCGATCCCTATTTTACGCTCTTCATTGTGGTGATGCTCTACGCCCCGGCTGCTTTCATCGTCTGCTTCACTTACTTCAACATCTTCCGCATCTGCCAGCAGCACACCAAGGAGATCAACGAGAGGCGAGTGCGCTTCAGCTCTCAGGATGGGGAGGCTGGGGAGGCGCAGCCCTGCCCGGACAAGCGCTATGCCATGGTTCTTTTCCGCATCACCAGTGTCTTCTACATCCTCTGGTTGCCCTACATCATCTATTTTCTGCTGGAGAGCTCCAATGTCTATAGTAACCGCGTTGCGTCCTTCTTGACCACTTGGCTTGCCATTAGCAACAGCTTCTGCAACTGTGTTATTTACAGTCTCTCCAACAGTGTCTTTCAGAAGGGGCTTAAACGGCTCTCGGGGGCTATTTGTGCCTCTTGTGCTAGACAGAGGGTAGCTAAGGACTCCTCTACCTCTAGGAGCAAAAGATCTTCCAATGGATGTCATGTCTAAGACTCCTATCAGCTGGACTGGGAAGTGCAGGGACAATTCCATAAATAGCAAAAATAAGTTAAATATGATTTTAAGATGTCCAGATTTGCAAAAAGGTCTCTGAGAAATGCTGCTGACATAGAAGAATCAGGAGCACATATCAGTGTGGCTAAAAAATATTGCTGTGGAGGAGGCTGTGGAGTTTCACCTCCATATTCATTTTTAAGAATAAAGCTGTATCTTGACACTTACCTCTCCAGCTGGTGTGACTGAATGGAGTGGGTGTCTGAGAGCTTCAGCAAAATGTAGTCTTTCTTACAGCTTTACTAGGTTCTTTTCAAGATTCGTGCTTCACATGTAAATGATAGATCTGAAGTGGAAATGTCACAGTATATGGTATATCACAGGGATTTTTTTAATATATGCCAAAGTATATTGACACAGTGTTCCAGCATCGTAACAGAAGGGGCCAAACAGTGTTGTTTATTCAGTGCTACCTAGACAGGACTTCTAGAACAGCAGTGACCAGTGTGAACATTTGAGCGTGACCTTAGGGTCCTACTGAGCCGTGAGGGCAGCGATGCGAGCTGAAGTCCTACGCTTAGGAGAACTGCCCTGGCTTCCCTGCCTCGTTTCTCTGGTAGGAGGCATGTGTGCCATCAGAGCACGGCATCTGCATTTCCCTGTTTGCTGGGAAGGAAGAAGAAAAACTTGGATCAGACCAAATTTAGCAGTTAAATAAAATGTGTTTGGATAAGCTAAGAGAAAATACGTGTTGCTTTATGATACCAGAGTTGTGGCAGCCACTTGAGGATGATGCCAGCATGTGAAATTATGCTCAAACCAGTGGAGAAATGCCACAGTTTTGTATGTGGAAATTTTCTCAAGAACAACTTTAAAAATAACATGTCCCTTTTTTTTTTTTAATCTAAATTCTTCTGATATTTTACATACTAGAACTTAAGGGGAAAGGAAAGAAAACAATTGTCTTCTAAACAGCTAAGGGAACTATGCTGTAAATTTAACTGTAGTATTTGAGTTATTCATAAGTGCACAGAGCTAAATCAGAGACATTTTTCTTTAGCCTTCATGGGATTAAAGATGGTTCGAATATAGCAAGAGCTAAATCCTGTTAGCAAAGGCATATCTAACTGGTCAAAGTCAGTGTCTGAGAAACAACCTCATTGACCACAGCTTTTTCAAGCTAGCTGAGGTTAAATCTCTGCGAGTACTGTAATGCTGTTAAGAAGGCACTATGCCCCTCCAATTGGTTAGTTTATCCTAAGGAATATCCTTGTCTTTTTACTGATGCCATACTGGAAAGTGAAAGTGAACCAAGTATTCCTGTAATAACGGATTACAGCCTGTGTTGTCTTATCTCACCCTGTGCCTGGCACAGGGATATCCCCCACCACCCCTCTGGTTGGAGAGCAGGTTGCACACCGTGAATGTCCGCAGTTTATTCCCTTCCTCGTGCTTCTAGTGAGTACACTGGGCTGAGCCATGGGAATTCTGTGAGCTTCTGGGTTACAGGTGGTGTGTGCTGTTAAAGCAGAAATGGAAAAATACTAGGGAAAATGATGTGGGTGTTTTTGGGATTGGGGTCATTCTCTTGGCCAAAGGGAAGACTGTATTTTTGATTTCAGGTCTAACTTGTTACGGACCGAGATCATCCTCTTCTTAGTACCCTGTCCCTCCTGCAAGCATACACATACCCTCCTCTCTGGTGTGCTGTGAGCCCTGGCTTCTCATCTTCCGTGTGTTGCCCTGGAGGACAACAGTTTGTATCTCTGTCCTGTCACACATGGATTGCTACAGACCATCCTCCTTGCTGCCCATCCGCATTACTCCAGTATAGTCTTGTGAGGCTGCTGGTGAGGAGAGCAGCAGGATGAAGCACGGCTGGCATGGCTTGTACTTGTCAGTGCTCATCGCTGATAGACATGAGTTCCTCTTACCGATGTGCATGTGAGGCTGAACCCCCTGCTGTTGCTGCCTAGTTTTGGCTTGACAGCTCCGTTACAAGGAAGCTTTAAGCCATCTCTTGGTCTGCTTGCAACATATTTTATCCATAGTTCAAACCTCTCAAGATAAACTTCCTCTATAGTTGATCTGAAATGGTAAGAACAAAGGTTGTCTAAACCCTGGTGCCTTCACCATGACATTTCTTGTTATCTTTTTGAATTAAGGCAGTATCTAGAGCCAGGGCTTATGCTGTGATCCCTGCACAGCCATGGGAGAGCTGATCTGTTCTGCAGAGCTCTCTCAGTCTGGGTTTTGGTTATAGAGACACAAACAGCCGTGGAGGGGACAGAGTGTAAGGGTGTAGTGAGTCATTTATAAGTGGTATAATAAGCTCACAGCACATCAGCTGGTTAATTGCTCTCGGGTGTTTTGCAGGTATTATGGCAAAGGTGGGCTTTGGGGGACAGTTTAAGGGCTTTAGTCACTAATATCAAAGTGTGTGTGTGTGGTATTTTTGGAACAGCCTCTCAGGTAAACTCCCAATAGCTTTTTCTCCGACTCTTCACCTTATCTAACATTTCCAAGGCTTTGAAGTGATGCAATTTATAATTGAAATAGTATTTGATTAAACTTAATGGAAGGAAAGCATGTGCTAGGGCCTAAACCACTAAAAATGGCAGTTTCAGGGTTCGGTGGGAGCTGGAGAGCAAAGATTGTTGCTTTTTATTTTACATTACTTTTTCATGGCATGAATAGAGGGTTTAAATAGAAGCATTTTGTGCTAGTTCTTGAGAATATGGAAAATACTATAAAGTAGGAAGGAGTCTAACTCATGGCATAGAGATTTAACTCGAGACGAAGCAGTTGCTGCTTCAAGCTATAAGACTAGAATTGTACTTGAAGCGTAGTGTTTGTTGCAGATGCAGATGCATGCTTGCAGCTGTTGTTGCTTTGCAGCTAAGGTTCGCTTATAACATTCCTGACAGCCAGGCTTTTGTTCAGTTGCCTTACTCATCTCAGAGTCTTCATCAGCTCAGATGTGAGAGGTGAAAATCAGGATCTGGAAGCCTCCAAGACGAGTTGCAGCCAATTGATGCATTCAAGTTTCCTCCAGTGTTTGTACAGACACTTTTGCCTCAGCATCTTAGTGTTAGTGTCAAATATTTCTCTTTTTTCCATGTTAATTTATTGATTTTTAAAAAAAACCTTTAAATTACTTTTGTCTCTAAGTTAATTTAATGTTGATCTAGGTTTGTCTGTGATTACATGTTTTAAATACTCACAGCATCTGAGTCTGTTATCTTCAGTGCAATTGCACAGGGTGAATTTTGTTCACAGTGCCAACTGTGGAAGAGATGATTGTGAACTACATTACCTTGTTTGCTCAGCAGACCATTAACATCCTTTGTCATGCAGTTAACACGAGGCACAGTAGGTCCTTTTCATCACAGTCTGCACTATGAATTGTTTTCGGCAGCAAACTTTCCAGTTGGATCATTTTCATCCCTGTATATATGAAACTAATCCTTTCTTGGCTATATTTGTATGCAAGTGTGCCTCGTGCTTTCAAAATTGGTATCAAGAGCATTGCACAGAGAAATGCCACACCGAGGAGAATATAGAAATCAAATCACATCTTCATAAGAACTGTGTGTTGTGATATGATTTAAATGAACTAATTTTGAAGTTCTATCTCAGATTATAATTTCTTTATTATTTCATTAGGGTTATCTGCCTCACTTTCCAATTAAGCTGCTAGAAGGTTCAATTTGCAGTTCAGTGGCATGTTTTTAGTACCATGGGAAGGATTTCTATACGCACAACTTCTCAGAAGGTGATCGTTTGCTTCGTGTTGGTTTTTTGCTTTCAATAAAAAGTTGACTGGATGTTTAGTTTATGATTATATTATTATTTTCCAAATAGATTGGGAGAAAATCTGTGAAATACTGTTTTATTTTATAATCACCAAGTGACAGGTTTTTTTTAACTTAACAGTATCTTTTGTGTGAAACGAGTGTTTTGCTGTTAGGTTTGTTTTATTAAACGTTACCAGCTTCTGCAGTACTTTTTATGGTTTTTAGGGGGTTTTGTACTTGTTTTTAAGCTTCTTATCACTCCGAAATCTGTTTCTCCTTGTGGGAATTCTGTGTGCCAAGGGGCAGTTGTGAATATTTGTCACAGATCTTTGACAAGCGGAAAGTGGTCCAAGGTACTGAGGCACAGAGAATCACAACAGGGGCACGAGGTTGTGCAGAGTCTGGCTTAGAGCAGACCTGGATGAGGATTTCCAGATGTCAGCCTCATGCTGCATCTCTGTGGTGTTGTTCTTTTCCTGCTCATACAAAGGTTTTACCTGTAAGAAGTCCTAAATTTCATTAGTTTCTGTTCTGGAAAAGACGCTTCCAAGGCCTGTGTGTGGTGCGAGATGGAAACACTCAGTATTTAATCAGCAGAGTTTTCCTTGTGGTGTTACCAAGTGCTGTGATGATAACGTGTACTGAACCTTCATGAGTCAGGTAGTCTGAAACATTTCAGTCTGATCTTGCTCTACATCAGGGTTTGAAGTTGGCAGAACTTCTAATTCAGGTTGGTGCTTTATAAAACGTATTTCTTAGGGACTAATATCTGAGCAGAGGAGTCTACCTTCATACATAACAAACAGAAGGTGCATTTAAAATTCTTCCATTACTTGATTCATCTAGTATAGTTAATTTTAATAAGAGGAGGTAGAGGTCTTGGAGGGCTTTTGTTGTTGTTTCAACACATTTTTGGTTCTGTGTACTTGAAGCACCTGCTGAACCATTTGCCTGACCTGGCTCTTATTTTGTTGTTTAGTTTAGGTTCTTCCTAAAGTTCTTCCCTTTTATGACTTTGCAGAATACAAAGACATGTCCTTTCTGTGGTGTCATTCAGGATAGACTTGGATTTTACCTCACTACAACACCATCTGAAGTTGGCAAAGCACATGTTTGTAAGTGATGTTCTGCTGAGATCCAAGAGGTCTCTGTGGTTTTTATACTCAAATGCAGGAAGAGTCGCTATCTTCCCTTCTGCAAATTAAAGAATGGACACTGCAAATGCTTTCAGGCTTCCAGGAGGGGAGAGGCTGGGCCATGACGGTGGAGAAACACCTGAGCTGAGTCCATTTGTTCTGGTGAAGCTGCGCTTCCTCCCTCCTGTCCAGTTGGCATCTTTAGTTCAGTCTGTTTTCTGCTCTTCTCTGTCCCTGCCTTTTGTTGAAATCTAGAGCTCTAGAGCATGGTAACATAGGGCTTTTTTCATCTTTCGTATTATTTATGCTGTGAATACTGTCGTTTGTACGTGGCTGTAGTCTCAGGTCAGTGTATTAGATCTGTTACTTTGGGACCCATAAGACTTCATAATAGTGTGGGCTTGAAATGCATTTGGTGGAGGTTCCCTTTGGATTCCCTTTGGATGTGGTGTGGTGATCCAGCTCCTCCATTTCTGTACAGATAAAATGGGATAATACCAGCCTGTGTCATGGTTGGCCATCTAAAGTGTTGAAGCAATGGGGACATGATCTGATGTGATGCAGTTTGTTCAGCCAGCTTCTCACCTGGTTTTGTTCTATGACAGGTGAGGTGCTCTGTCTCTGCAGGCAGCTTTCTGATGGTTCTTCACTCAATATTGGCTTATGTCACCTTTCAGTTTTTATTGCCATTGCAGAGTTTAAAACAAGCCACATACATTTAGTGGTGGTTGCAAATGCAAGTGTTTGTGGATTTCACCCCCATCTTCTTTGCATCTCTTGAGCTTTAGCAGTTAATGAAAATGTTAACCTAAGTTAATGTTCCTGTATCCTGATCCAGGCTGTTTATTTGCAGCCTTTGATGTGCTTCAGCAACCTGTCCTGTCAAAACTGAATCTCTAGCCAGTGAATTTGTGGATACTTCAACAGAGAAACAACAATCTTTGGTTTGTGCTGAAGAGGTTGAGGGGGAGCTGATTGAAGGAGGTGCAGGCACTGCTCTGGGGGGAGACAGGAGGCCAGGTCACTGTGGGACTGTTGAGAAGCAGCAGCTTTATTTGCTGAAGAAGTTTTTAGAAGTGCTGAGTTGGATGCACATTGCATTAGGATGTAGTTGGAATTTTGGCCAGCTCTTGCGGTACAGCACGAGGGTACCCCTGGGCTGTCAGGAAGGCAAAAAGGAGTCCAAACTTCTTGCTCTGACTCCTTTCTTTTATGGATTTGTGAGATGAGGATAGCAGTTTTGTGACTCAAAGCTTTGGCTTCTCTCTGGTGGTCACTGCCGGAGTCGTTTCATTAAGAAGCTAAACAAATTGAAGTAACTCCTTGTAAAGATGAACTCGAATCTTGCTGTGCATACGTGAGTCATTCTTACATGTTAACACCAGTCACGTGATACGAGCAATCAGATGCTTAATAAACCAAGTCATTGCTTTTATGGTAAATTGAAAAAAGTTCTTCTGGGATTTCAGCTGTAAATGAATCCTTGAAAATCAATAATTAGATTAGTAAAGGATGACATTTTAATATGCTGGCAGGAATATAGAGGGATTTGTCAGGGGAAGCAAACCCAGACTTTGCACTAAAGTGGCTTAGGTATATTTATAGTGCTAGTGATTTTGTGTGTGTGCGTGTGTGTGGAATCTTTGGACTATTTTAATATGATGTAAGGCTTTGAGCTTTAGCTAACTCGAGTTGCTTGTTTGATGAAGTTCCATTAGTACCACACTGTGAAGTATTTTTAAATATTAGCATTACTGAGTATTGAAAGTATTTCATAAAGACATTTTTTAAAGACATTTTCTGTAGATGCTGTCCAATGAATTGCTGTTCAGTGTACAAAGAAATAAAACCCCGGAGGGCTGTAAGGTACCTGCGTGTTTCTGATCACCTCGGGTTTGGAGGCGTTAGGGATTTCTTGAGGTGAAATTGTCATTAAAACCTACTAAAAATAATGGTGCAGTTAATCCTTTCAGATAACAGGAAGCAGCATTACCTCCAGCCACGCTTTTGAACTGTCTGAAAGGATTTGCAATCGCATACGTTGTCTTCACAGACTTCTGTCTTCAGAAATGCTGTACAGCACAGTGTTTTGCAAGGTCCTATGCTGATAAATTTCTCTCCATATGTAACCTTTGAAGCTACTTTCTATTGTAATTCTAGCATGTAAACACTAGATTCAATTTTGTATTCCTCTAATGAATGCAACAGGATGGAAACGAGTTTGCAATTGCTAATGATGAGCTTTTTTACTGTTCTTAATACTCGTGGGTATGTCTTTTCTTCAGGGATTTCAGAATTGTCTTAGTACCTTTTTTAATTGTTTTGTTCTTTCCACATGCTGTTTACAATGAAACTGCAAGCATGGGAGGCTGTGTGTGCATGTGCTTTTAGGTTGCTGTGCTGAATGAAACACAGTGGAGCAATCTTACTTTAAAGGATGCTCGCTTTTCCTTGTGTGCCACCCGTCTCCTTACACCCTCATGGTAACTGGTACAGCAGAAGCCACTGGTGAGATTAGTTCAGTGTGTTCGGTGGCAATTTCACATTTGTCAGAGGGTTGTTACAAGGAGTTTTGAGTCCAGCTCCTTACACGAGTAGCGTTACAACTGGTAGTTTATTCCTGAGCGTTAGCGAGAAGGCAAAAACCAGACAAAATCACAGGTAAGGATGTGTACGTGTGTGTTTGCCAGAACTTTGTGCACCTTTTAATGCTGGAAATCGTTTCATATTAAAAGATGAGGAAGAGGTGTGAGTGTGAAACCCCTGCTATAAAGAACTAGGGAAAAAATCCACCAAAGCAGATTAGAAAAGCAAACAGGTGAATTAGAGCCAGTCCCACCCTTAAGACTTTCTAATGCTGTGTTTAATTCAGACACAGTGGGGAGTATCAGCGGCTCGGGCTGTGTTCCTCGATGTTCCTCATGTCTGCTGGGGTTTGCCCTGTTCTGAACTCTGCAGGAGAAGGGGAGGGGGGTGTGTTGGGGTGCAGGGCAGCTGAGGAAGAGTTATGGTGGCTCCAGAATATGATGTATTTTGTGCCAACTCAGAATTGCTGTTGAAAGACAGGGGAGAGGGGTTCTTCTCCCCCATCGTTTTAATAGACATTTCTGTAGCTGATTTTTTTGACTCAGACTAATAATAAGCAAAACTACAGTTGAGCCAAAAATGACAAATGTTACTGATTTAAAATAATACTTGCATATTTTTCAATATTAAATGGAACGAGATAAATCGGAAGCATGTAAATATCTGATTCTCAATCTTTGCGTAATTATTTCCAAGAGGTAATTTTGCTATGAGCTGTTAAAACTCAAAGAAATGTATTATTCCCTTTGAGATGATCTGTACCCCGGCTGTGTCATATGTCTCTTGGCTTGTTTCCTTATTGCTGTAGATGTATATACTTATATATATGTGTACTCGGTGGCTGTACCATTACTGCCATGTTAAATTGCTTGCTTTAAAATACATATGCATATATATGTAAAATACGTATAGGTATTTAAAATACATACACACACCTATATATGTAAAATACATATATGTATTTAAAATACATATACCCACATATATATGTAAAGTACACATATATATGTATTTTAGCCCAGGCAGTTCACCGTGGCAGTAGTGGTACAGTCACACAATTTAGGGCTTTGTACAATATGTAATTTTAAGGGTGTCAATGTGGTTCTTAGCGGATTTTATAAACACTTTTCTGACCCTGTCATCAGCACTTCCCATCCTCAGAGAAACTGCACATTCTTCAGTGATTGTTCCACTGGTTCCATTTTTTTTTGTCTGCCATTTGTTCTGGATTGATGTAATCTTGTTACTACTAAACTTTCAAGGGCTGTTGACCCATTTCACATAGCCTAGGATTGCCTGTTCTCCAAATGTATG